CTGCACATCCCCCACTGGGGATGTGCCCGCAACCCAGGTACATGCCCTTGACCAGAATCGAACCTGGGACCTTCCAGTCCGCAGGCCGACGCTCTATCCACTGAGCCAAACCGGCTTCGGCCATTGGATTCTTAAGTCTCATCTGTGGCTGCTGTGTGACAAATATGAGCCCATAATCCAACTTGTATTTTGCATTTTAAAAAAGATTTGTGCTTAAAACAATTACTAAATTTTTTGCATGGAAGGCTTTAAAATTAGTGCTCCTGTTCATACTTTTTATTCATATTCACTTAATGAGACAGTTTTTAACTGCTTTCTAGAGAGAGAATTACATGTTATAAATTACTTTGGGGGCAGTAATAGGCATAAAGAAGGTCATTGAATGTATATGCTTCTCTCACGTACAATAAAGGGAGAAGTCTATTCTGGATATACGAGTTTTGCTTTACGTTGCTGAAACATTTTTCCAGGCTTTCAAAATGGAAATATATGCAAATTGGGACATCATACCACTACCCTATCTTGAAAAACATACTAAAAGTATTTAATAATTTTAAGTTTCTTTTATGTTAATTTCACTTTTAACGACATTACAAGTTCTTCATGGAAAATCCCTCTGTATTTAATGGGATCTGTAAGCAACTGTTTGCAGTTTTCAGCATACACATATTTCACAAATTTGTTAATTCTACCTCTACTTCGTGTTTTTTTTAGAGATATAATGGGATATACACAACATTCTATTAGTTTCAGGTGTTCAACATAATACACTACTTGTATATATTGGGAAATGATCATATAGTAAGTCTACTGAATATCCATCACCACCCATAGTTACAAATTTTTTTTTCTTATGAGAACTTTTAATAATTTTTTTTAGCAATTTTCAGAAATAAAGCACATTATTGTTAACTATAGTCACAGGACGTACATTGCATCCCCAGGAAGTAATTATTTTTTAACCGAACGTTTGTACCTTTGGACCCCCCTCACCCATTTCCCCGCCACTTACTGCTTTCCTCTGGCAAACACCAATCTCTTCTCTGTATCTGTGAGCTCCATGTTTTGTTATGTGTTTTGGAAAATTTAGGCCACTTAACATTTAAATAATTATTGATTGGTATGTACTTACTGCCATTTTCTTATTTGTCTTCTGGCTGTTCTGTAATTTTTTTTTTTCTTAACCTCATTTGTTATGGTTTGATAAATGTTTTTAAGTGCTATGTTTAGATTCCTTTATCTTTCTCTTTTGTGTAGCTGCTATAGGTGTTTACTTTGTGGTTACCAGAAAGCTACATAAAGCAATTTATATTTAAAATAGTCTATTTTATGTTGATAACTTAAATTGAATGTATTTTAAAGCTCTATATTCTTTTAAAAATATATATTGTTATTGATTTAAGAGAAGAAGGGAGCGGGAGAGAGAGAAACATCAATGATGAGAGAGAATCATTGATCAGGCGCCTCCTGCACACTTGCTACTTGGGATCGAGCCTGCAACCTGGGCATATGCCTTGACTTGGAATGGAACCTTGACTTCCTAGTTCATAGGTCAATGCTCAACCACAGAGCCACACAGGCTGGGCAGAGTTTATATTCTTAATTCCCTATCCCACATTTTAAGTTTTTGATGTCACCATTTACATAATTTTATCTGTGTATCCCTTAAAAATTATTGTAGTTATAGTTATTTATCTTTTAATCTTCATACTACCTGTATAAGTGAATAATTTACCTCATTATTCTGAATTTTATATTTACTTTTATCAAGATTTATTCTTTGCTACGTTTTCCTGTTACTAATTAGCCTCCTTTTGTTTCCTTAAAGAAATTAAAGTATCTATAATAATCTGTCTTCTGGTGATGCTTTTCCTTGTCCAAAAAATTCTTTATCTCTCACTTAATTCTGAAGCAAAGTGCCCAATAGAGTTTGGGAAATTCTTTTCTTTCAGTACTTTGAGTATATGTTGCCACCCTTTTTCTGATCTGCAAAATTTCTGCTAAGAAATGTGCTTTTAGTTGTATTGGGGTTCTCTTGATGGAAAATAGTTGATTTTACTCTTGCTACTTTTAAGATTGTCTCAGAAATCAAGAAGGAGGAGTACGTGCAAGAGCCCTACCCTGGGGAATTATGGATGGCTGTGGTGGGGTCTTTATGATGGGTACCATAGGTGGTGGCAGCTTTCAAGCAGTCGAAGGTGTTCACAGTTCTCCAGTGGGAGTGAACCACAGGCTACGAGGAAGTTTGACAACTGTTAAAACCAGGCCTCTGAAGTAGGTAGGAAGCTTTGCAGTTCGGGGAGGTCAGTTTTCCATGATCGATTGCAGTGTTTCAAGTCGGGAGGAAGGAGGACCCCTAAACTCCATTAAGAGTGGAGCCTTAACAAGAGCCATCCTGGCAGCAAGAAATGGACCAGTGGCTGTCGTTGGGTCAGCTGTGATAGGTGGCATTCTTCTAGCTTTAATTGAAGGAGCTAAATTTGTTGATAAGATTTGCCTCTGCACAATTTCTCAATGGTCCTCAGTTTGCTATAGTCTCTTCCCAGTTGCCATCAGCCTGGTTACCATCCCCACCTTTTAGACACTATGGACAATATCAGTAGGACTTCTTTAACAATGAGTTCTAGTTCAAGAAAGGATCTCAGAACATTGAGTTGCAGACTGTTTTTAAAACCATAGGTGGGACACCTTTGGCCAAATAGGCTATGAAGAGATATTTAGCACTTTTTTCTATTTAAAGGAAAATGTGGGACGTGTTACATGTAGATTTTTTTGTTTACATGTAGATTGCATTTTCGATCCAAGTTAAATATCTAGTATATTTAAAAGAAAACATACTAAGTGCTTAGAAGATGAAGGACCTGAGGGTAAACAGCAGTGAAACATGGCCGTCATCTCCTTGGTGTCCCCAAGCAGCAGACAAATTGGGGGTGCTAGGTGAGTGTAGAAGCTTTTTTTTCCTGGGAGATACTGCCAACCTGGAACCAGAGAGAGGGAAATAGCAAAGATGGCACTGACCAGCCTCCATCCC